GTTGGAGGCCATCGCCATTAGGTGGAGGCCATTGCTTTTAGATTGGAGGCCATCGCTATTAAGTTGGAGGCCATCTCTATTAGGTGGAGGCCATCGCTATTAGGCTGGAGGCCACCGCTATTAGGTTGGAGGCCTCGCTATTAGGTTGAGTATTTGCTTGGAGGCCATCGCTACTAGTAACATCCGAAATGCACTCGCACAAATGAACCAGCTGTGCAGTCAGTTCCCAGTGCCTGGCATTGTTGACAAGGGCAGCACTGCCTTTTGGTCGGGGACACAGGTGTTTTGCGACAACACCGCAGTTGGCCCCACGGCAGCTGCATTGCCTCCAGCCGGACGAGAAGTTTTCAGTGATGTGAGCTTCTGTGGGGATACGGTATGGGTCAAAACGCAGTGTTACTCTTGTTTTGGAGTCTTGGAGTGGTTTGTTTGATGGATCACCGATGTCTCAAAACCCATCAAAACCCCGATTCTGCAGAAAAGAGCAACATTGGAAGCACACAGCGAAGCCACACACGTGCTCTTCCGCACCCCCCACCCCAGGCCTATTCGAATGTAATCCAGGTGGACCTGCCCATGCAGCACGCTTGAAGTCGCCAGCTTGACACGTTTGCCTGGCAAAGCTCCCAGGATGCTCTCTGAACTCAGCGGTGGAAGTCTCTCAATCGTTTAAAAGTCTAAGAGTCTAAGAGGGTCTGCAAAAACCCAGGATGCTTCTGGCCGGGTTTGTTCGGTCCAAGGAGAGTCTGACCGAATCAAACCACCTTGTTTGTATCCTTAAGTTGTCTGAAATCGGTGATACGTGTAACTTGATATCATATCACATGATGCAGCCTTTTGGAGAAATCCATTTCCCTGTCCATCCAAGGTGCCAATTGTAGCATTTGCACCAACCTCTATCAGGTCTGGGTCATGTATTGTGCATGGACCTCGGGTGGCAGAAACGCTCAGGGTGGTGATCAGTGCAGAACTCAACCAATGGGACGACATTAAAGCCCCCGAGCTTGGTGAAATCACGACATCGATCTAGTGACAAACACAGTACATGGTGCATTGAGCCCTTGTGCTTACAATTCTGAACCAACACCACTCGTTGACCACGCGTTCACAAAGAGACAGTGAACTCGGCGTCTTTGTTTCGCCAAAACACTGATCCTTGCGCCCGGGCCAATATTTGCTCCTTAGCGCGAGCAAATAGCTCCCAGGAGTATGGCTCGCAAAGGCTGACGTGGCATGTGAGCAACAACATAATTGTAACCACAACCTTCAACATTGTCGTTGATTGAAGATTCAAGCAACAGTTTCTGAGAGTCCTAAATCTCGAATCCAGGGGCGCTTGCAAACGTTGACGTTTGTATTTTGCATACGGCTGACTGCCTATAACTGCGATCCCAAGGAGGAAATAGATTCACGAAGTCAGTATCACAAAAATTCACAAGTAAACAAAAGTACTATTTAAAACCATAACCATGCAAAAAACAAGTTGTTCTCTAAAAAAATGTGTCTGCTTCTCGTCTGTGAAAAAAGTGTGGTTCTTGCTAGTTTGGTGGGTAATTTGTTAAACAGATTTGTGATGATTTGTGTAATGTGTATTTAATAATCATATCACTACATTACATCTTATCTCACGCAGCGTGAGCAGCCACCTCCCCTCCCTCTTTGGCCGCGAGACCCAGCAGCCGCAAGAAGCAATTCGCCAGTGGGGTCTCTCCGATGATAGGCATCATATGTTCAATGGTTGCTTTCAGCAAATTGTTGACAAACCACCACTTGTAGTAGTCCTCACTCGCATTGGATTCGCGGTCAGTTTTGCTTCTGAGTTCCAACAGGCATATTACGGCAAATGACTTGAGGCACGTAGCGCTGATCCTTGTGGTGGTTGGATGATGTGTTGAAAGTTGAATCCAACACCATCAGATCCGAGAGCACACACTGGGGCTTCTACTGCTCTCAGAAGAGTGTTCACAATGTCTCTTTCAATTGATTCACTGCAACCAAGAAGCAAAAGACCAAAGCTCTATCTTGCCTGAGGTGCACTCTTGGTTCCCTTTGCATCTCAAATCCAAATGCATTCCCCATGGGATCTGTCCCTACACAGTTCTGATGTGTGCAACGAACGTCTGAGGTCGTGCTGGACGCGGGCCTGGCTTCACACGGCCCAAAACAATCCATTTCATGAGCACGGCAACCATCAACATCACCAGGAGGTCCAAGAAGGCTGCACAGGGAAGGTAGAGGAAAAATGCCTTCTCTCCAAAATACCTCAGATGTCTGGGATAGGAAAGATGGAAAATAGATATATAGAACATAAAGAGCTTAAATGAAGCAGGTCCTGTCCACCAACAAGCCCTTGGTGTTAAAAAATGCCACAACTCCCGACTCCCCCCCTGAAAGGAACAGGACAGAATGAAAAAGGATGGTATAAACAATGTGTTGGTCCGAAAGGGGTTGCCTTGCCCCGTAGAGCAATTAATGTGAGTGTGGGAGTAGAACACACATTGAGAGGGTAATCGAAGTAACGTAGTAATCTTCTGCCCTCAATGCGCACGAAGTCATAATAGCATAAATGGACCTGGATCAAGATTGGTGTGCTCTGATGCAAAAGTAATCTGAACATGTCGTGCTGCATGTGTTTGAAGGGCCCTCCCTTTGCCCATGCATAAAGCAGAATGGCCCTGCTCACGTGTTCACATGAATGTGAATGCACTTGCTCACGTGGATCAGGTGCATTCAGGTGAATTTGTGTGTGGTCCAGCGCAACTGATGCTGCGGTCCAGCGCTCAAGGCAACACAACTCTTTATCACTTGTACAATTGCAAGTGAAGCAGTACAATTCCTATCTCATGAGAATGAAACATGTTCATCTTCTTGACTTGTGTATACAAGTCAAGACTGTGCCAAAAGACCCCCCAAGCGCTCAATATCTGAGAATTGCAAGACGGATGATGTTTGCTTCACCTCAACTTCTGAGCAGGGCAACCCCCGTTTAGCGTTGTCGGTTCAACCGTTCGTTTGCCACCTGCGGGCTGTGGAGTGAACACTTCCACAACTCACGGAGGATGAGGAGGATACACCACGACTCTGCCAAGACTCCACCAAATATACCATGCCGCCCACCAAGCTGGCGACCACGCCTGGGGAGCGGAGGACAGGAAAGAATCACTCCAAAAAGTCAACCTTTGACCAAAACATCTAAAGCCTTCCCACGATGCTACGCGCCTGGCGTTGGAGCAGGAAGCTCAACCAAAAGACCTGAAACACCACTGCTCTGCAGGGCGGACATCGACCCCGCGGGATCTGCAAAAACGACACGACGGCACTCGATTTCATAACCGAAGATCAAAGAACTAAGGCAACGGAGGCAGGATGTTTTCTTCGTTAAGAGTCGAAACTCTCATGAATCTAGGCACACCTATTTGGAAAAGAACATGTGGGCCCGAAGACCATCGAATACCATCGAAGACCTAGACTAGTAGACTAGGTGTTCCAAGATGCTCCAAGGGTCTTAGTTTTAAAAAATAGATTTAGACCAAGCTTGACCACAGCCATGGGCTTGGAACACCGGCTGGCTCTTGGTCAGGGAGTTGGCTAAAACGGACCCAAAAGTACGACACTTCCATCAGCCTAAAATATCTATATAAAATTGCTTTGAAATGCTAACAAGACGCGTAGGTATCAGTCAAAATGATCAGACATGGTATCATGATAGATCCATCGCCATTAGGCTAGAGGCCATCGCTATTAAGTTGGAGGCCATCACTATTAGGTGGAGCCCATCCCCATCAGGTTGGGGGCCATCGCCATTAGGTTAGAGGCCATCGCTATTAAGTTGGAGGCCATCACTATTAGGTGCAGGCCATCGCCATCAGGGTGGGGCCATCGCTATTAGGTTGGACCATCAGGTTGGAGGCCATCGCTATTAGGTGGAGGCCATCGCCATTAAGTTGGAGGCCATCGCAATTAGGTTGGAGGCCATCGCTATTAAGTTGGAGGCCATCGCCACTAGGTTGGAGGCCATCGCTATTAAGTTGGAGGCCATCGCTATTAGGTAAGAGGCCATCACTATTAGGTCTAGGCCGTCGCTATTAGGTTGGAGGCCATTGCTATTAGGT